GATAAATACAATGCAGATAGAAACAAATCTCACTGATATTTCCAAGTCATCAATCAATATTGTCCTACTGGCAAAAAAAAAGAGTCCTGTATTTAAATTTAGTAAAACTATTGGCAAGCACTAACCTAGCTTACCCTAACCCGAACCTAAATTATGTTGCTGGATAACTCGTGGTTATACTTTAACAGGCCACCGTACCTACCACCTGGATAACTTGCTGACAGTGGTGATTTGGGAAGTCAAACACAGCCTGACACAGCAGACAACACTCACAAAATACAGCAGATAACACTCACAAAACACAGTAGACAACTCACAAAATACAGCAGACTTACCTGGAAGACATGCTAGCAACACTTGAGGATCGCATCCTCTTCTTCTCCTCTGCTGGTGCTTGTGAAATTGTTCTTCTCACAACTGGATGACCTGATGCAGATGAAGGACCCTAAGAAAAATAAAACACAGTGCAATGTAAAAGTTGCACCTCTAGAATTAAGCTGAACCATAGGATGAAGGCTTGATATTAGCCTGTCACTGTTCATGTCTACCTGTATGAAGATGTCTGTAAAAACTCCAAATTAAGTGATTTGTTGAAAGGAACTGCAGTGATTTGAGGCAACACTTGCAAAGTCTTCTTATATTTAAAACTCTTGGTAAGTCAGAATGACTGCTTCCTTTATTTTGATTTTATTGAGTTTTACTTCTGAGTCAGAACTTGGAGATATGGTAAGTTATTAATACTGCTAATGTTTCTTCTTGCACAGTATTATTTTTATTATTATTCTTATTTATCTTTGTTTTTTAACAAACTAGCTGTATCCCACCAAGGCAGGGTGACCTAAAAAGAAAAACAAAAGTTTCTCTTTTTAAATTTAGTACATGTAATGTATACAGGAGAAGGGGTTACAAACCCCTTGCTCCCAGCATTTTAGTCGCCTCTTACAAAATGCATGGTTTACAGAGGAAGAATTCTGTTCCACTTCCCCATGGAAAATTATTACTACACCTACCATCCGACTTACGACCTGCTCGACATACGACCACTTCACTTACAACCATGTTTTTTATGCCATATTTCTGGGAAATAAACAACTGTATGTGTTGTACACAGTGTTTATCCTAAACCTTATGGTATAAAATACAGTACTAACAGCATAAAAAGTAAAGTAAAAAATGAAATACCAAAATAAAACAATAAAATAAAATCATTACAAAAGTGTGATGTTGATATTCAGTAGTAAGGTTCGACATACGTCCATTTTGACTTACGACCGGTTAGTCGGAACCAAGCTTGGTCGTAAGTCGGATGGTGCCTGTATTATTAATATTATTATTATTACTATTTTTTTTTTTTACATGTTGGCCATTTTCCACTGAGGCAGGGTGACCCAAAAAGAAAAACTCAAAAAGAAAGAAAAAACTTTCATCATCGTTCAACACTTTCACCATCATTCATACATAATCACTGTCTTTGCAGAGGCACTCAGATATGACAGTTTAGATGTCCCTCTTGTTATTATTATTATTATTCTTTCAACAAACTGGCTGTATCATACCGAGGCAGGGTGGCTCAAAAAGAAAAATGAAATTTCCTCTTTTTAAATTTAGTAATATACATAGGAGAAGGGGTTACTAGCCCTTTGCTCCCAGCATTTTAGTCACCTCTTATGACATGCATGGCTTACAGAGGAAGAATTCTGTTCCACTTCTCCATAGAGATTATTATTATAACATTTATCAGGAGAGAGGGAGTGCTAACTTCATATGAATCTCCTGGAAAGCAAACAGTGAATTTAATTAATTCATTATCCAACTTTTTGATTATCTAACCTGATTCAGGTTGTATCAGGATCAAATAATGTGAAAACCTGTACAGTACAAGAATATTCTGTTTCACAGTAACAAACCTACATAACTACCACATATGTGTATTCTAGTAGCTTAATTTATGGTTCTTTAGAGGTAGAATAATTAATGTGGGCCATAGGCCTATACTGTAGACAGAATGCCAAGCAGAAATAACAATTATGTAAAACTATGTTTAAACAATGATTTATTTTCACTGCCATAAAATAATTGAATTAGGTAATCTGTTTCAGGTTTAATCCTTAAAGGGAAGGGAAGGCCTTTGATGCTGGTGAATACCTCTAGTTTCCAGGAATTAATGCTATTCTTTCCTTCCTTGGATGAAACCTGTTTACCTTCTACTCTCTGAACTCTGTATAACCCACATGAATTTACCACTTCCCCATAAATATAACAAGTTAATGAAAACTGACTTGATTACTAGTTGATGGTGCCTGACTCGTGGAAGGGCTGGGCTGAGGGATCATTGAGACACCACCACCACCTACTCCTTTTCGACCAAGGATTGGTGATGTTGGAAGGCCACCTCCAAGTCCAAAGAGGATTGTTTTTAAAGATTTCAGCTGGCTATCAGATGATGGAGCTTCCCTGTTAATAATTAAAATTAGTTTATTGCTCACTTCTCATTGGTTGGTTCATTAAATTTAAAACCTATCTCTATGCAGTGATCATTAAAGCTGCAGAGTGCCTGTTCATCACATGTCCAGAATTTTATAACCTCTAAACAGTGATTAAGGTAAACTCTTGGTATATACCTGGTACACTAAGAGTTACAGTATACACCTATCAATGTACATATCTTTGTTTCTTCTCATTCATGTAATATTTCAAATGCATTATTAGTTTTTATTACTATTATCTGTGAAAGTTATGCAAAATAACTATAAAATTATTCAAAACCCACTTATATCAACCTAAAACTTGCTGTATCATGTAATGTGCTCTGTATGATTGTCTAGGTGAAGAAGAAGTAGGTAAAATAGCCAGTGTTTATTGATGCCTCACACTACATGCTGACAGTAGGTGGAACAGTTTTACATTCACTACCTGGACAGGCCTCTTACAGATGCATTACTGACAGACACCCTTTCCCAATTCTTGAACATACACTCTAAAGGCTCCTTTTTTGTGCAACTCAACATCTAAATCCACATACAAAAAAAAGCATGTTGGTGAACTTCAAGGATATTCGAAAGATGACAGTCATATGTTCAGAACATAGAGAAAATAGAGCTACAGTATCTAGTTGCCCTAGACACATATGCTGAAATGCTTTTAAATAAGCATCAATGCTGAGGACATAAATGACGAGTCTTACAGAACCTATAAAGTAAGTACTTGAATCTGTATATATAAAAAGGATATTATGTTGTCAAAGAAATTCAGGTCATGAGTTTAAAATAAATCAGGATGGATCAAAATGTGGGTTAATGGTAAATTTTCAGATTTTGACCACTGGTAAAATGTGAGTAATCTCCAGAGACTCCATTAGTAGTTCACTACATTTAGGATGTTACTTCTCAGTGATAAGAGAAATTAAAAGCTAATAAGAGATTGATTAACTAGCATATTACAATATCAAATTTACCCAGCCAAAAATGATGAATATTTGTGTCCAAATTATTTGAAGATAATGTCTAACTGAGAATTAAAGAAATATATATATATCCTTTGAATACCATACAATTTCACTTACTGGGCAATATTATAAAAGTCATCCATAAGATGTGGAGGAGGTGGTGGGTCTGGTACACTCAGGTGCTCCAAGGTTGGCTGGTCACAAGTAGTGAGAGCTGCTAGACGTGCTCGCAAAAGCTCATTCTCTTCCTGAAGTTTTGCAATCTTGGATGCTTCTTCACGGTAGCTGGCTAACGTTGGTAATTCAATACTCTGTTGAGATATAAAAAGCTTTTAGTATTTATAGAAGATGTCAGAATTGACTATACGCACCTCACTTAGTGTTAAGGGTGTGTACTAAAAATTTCTTAGGTAAATTTCCATTGTACCAGTGAACCACAAAAATATACATATAAATTTAGACATGTATGAGCAGATAAACATTTACCCATAAAAAGTGTAATAATAACATATACATTACCACATTCACATAAGCTTGCTGGATGCTCAACTAAAATTTTGAACATATTTAACCCTTAAACTGTCCAAACGTAGATCTACGTCCACGTGCGGGAGGGCTCCGAACGTAGATCTACGTTTTTTTTTTACATGCTTTCAAATGGGGAATATCAAGGTCGGAGCACTACACATGCGAACGTAGATCTACGTTTGGACAGTTTAAGGGTTAATGAATTATCATAAATCAAAGCTAAAACAAATACTGTGCCTAAACAGCCCAATCATGAAATTCATTTTACTTCACTAAAACAAATTTCTTTTTGTTACTATCATCATCTTTCTTTCAACAAAACAGCCATATCCTGCCGAAGCAGGGTGGCCCAAAAAGAAAAACTAAAGTTTCTCTTTTTAACTTCAGTAATGTATACAGAAGGGGTTACTAGTCCTATACTCCCAGCATTTCAGTCGCCTCTTACAACACGCATGGCTTACGGAGGAAGAATTCTGTTCCACTTCCCCATGGAAATAAAAGGAAATAAACAAGGACAAGAACTAGTAAGAAAAATAGAAGAAAACCCAGAGGGGTGTGTATATAGTATATGCTTGTAAATGTATGTGTAGTGTGACCTAAGTGTAAGTAGAAGTAGCAAGACGTACCTGAAACCTTGCATGTTTATGAGACAAAAAAAAATAAATAAAAAAATAAAATAAAATAAACCAGCAACCCTACCATCATGTAAAACAATCACAGGCTTTTGTTTTACACTCACTTGGCAGGATGGTAGTACATACCTGCCTGGGCAATTGCTGTCTACCAACTTATTACCTTGGTGTTACTATCATATTATTACATATTGTAGATATCTTATTAAGTACACCCTGTATCCCTTGTCTTTCTCATAATTCTGCCCATTATTTTTTAATTTACTATCATTAACCTGCATCACATCACTTATTTATTCCTATTATTTTTTATTCCACTGTATCATGTTATGTATTCTGCCTATCCGATTATTAATTTTTTTTTTTAACAAGTCGGCCATCTCCCATCGGGGCAGGGTGACCCAAAAAAAAAAGAAAATCCCCAAAAAGAAAATACTTTCATCATCATTCAACACTTTCACCTCACTAACACATAATCACTGTTTTTACAGAGGTGCTAAGAATACAACAATTTAGAAGCATATACGTGTAAAGATACACAACATATCCCTCCAAACTGCCAATATCCCAAACCCCTCCTTTAAAGTGCAGGCATTGTACTTCCCATTTCCAGGACTCAAATCCATATAAAAATAACCAGTTTCCCTGAATCCCTTCACTAAATATTACCCTGCTCACACTCCAACAGCTCGTCAGGTCCCAAATACCATTCGTCTCCATTCACTCCTTGACTCCTATCTAACATGCTCACCAATCAATACTTTACACCCGTGAGCTATGGCCAGTTCTAATATGTACATGTTTATTCTTCTTGGTCATCAATACCTTGAATTAAATTCACAAGCTTAAATATCCAAGAAGGGAAAAAAAAAGTTCTCAATTCCTGTAAAAATGCTGATATTTTACTTATTTATTTAATGAAATAGGAAAAGTTAGCCAATCATAATAAGCCTTGTCCTACCTGGAAGACAACAGCAAGGAAATTGTGTAGAGATACCAGGAGTGTGTCCTGCCACTGTCTTGTGAAGTACATAGCAAATGCGGGGTTTTCTTCCACTCCTTTCAAATATGGCAGAACTGCAATAGCAAAAGAACTAAAGGTAATTTAATTCAGGATTGCAAAATTTGATGGAAAAATTATGGAATTACACAGATGGAAAATTGGTGGCCTATACATAATTTATGCATAGTCTGCCAATTTAGATCGATTCAATTTCTAGCTATTTTGCTAGTATGCCTTCTATTCCATCCAATAAGCACAAGAAACCACCAATTCAACTATCAGAATTGCCACATACTGTACACAAAAGTCTGTAATTTAGCTAATATTACACAAAGCCCCCAAAAATTAAATTTAAAAACAGTCCAAAATAAACAATGTGGGTATTTCAGTTCATTAATCACATTGCCAGGCCTCTCTTATATAACACTTACCCTCCATTTTGATTCCATCATCATCCAAAAAAATCTAAGTTTTACCCTATTTCTCGGATAAATAAAATATAACCATGAATGATTAGTCATGAGTTAGGCTGTCTCAATAACTGAAGCAAACATGGTAAAAACCCATAAAACAGACTATGGGGGGCCCCTGCCCTTCCTTAGGAAATTACCAAAAAACAAAATATTTCCGCCTCTCTAAATCCTCTTTCAGACCTCCGGTCATGTCAATAATGCATGCACAATACACAGAAAAAGCCACAGCCATATAAGGAACTGGAATGAGGTCAGACACATTGACAAATGCAAAAATTTACACAGACGTTGCTGCCTTGAGTCAGCAGCTATCAGTTTGGCTAACAAAGTTATACACAACACCAGGAGTTGCAACATTCAGCCAATACAACTGCACACAGCACCAGCAGTTGCAGCATTTCAAGAGTTTAAGCTAAACTGATCCCGGGTTGCTAAAATATAAATAATTGTCTGGTGGAACCACTATACTCTACAGGACTTGCTTACATTATACCTGTCCTTCTCTTCTATATTTACCCAGTTCTTCCTCACTCTGTACTGAACTGAAAAAAGTTCCTGGTAAGCAAAATATATCCTGAGAGAAGTTTCCAAGCATTGCACATTGTCAAATTTATATATATATATTTTTTTTTTTTTTTTTTTTTTTTCAACAAGTCAGCCGTCTCCCACCGAGGCAGGGTGACCCAAAAAAGAAAGAAAATCCCCAAAAAGAAAATACTTTCATCATCATTCAACACTTTCACCACACTCGCACATTATCACTGTTTTTGCAGAAGTGCTCAGAATACAACAGTCTAGAAGCATACACATATAAAGATACACAACATATCCCTCCAAACTGCCAATATCCCAAACCCCTCCTTTAAAGTGCAGGCATTGTACTTCCCATTTCCAGGACTCAAGTCCGACTATATGAAAATAACCGGTTTCCCTGAATCCCTTCACTAAATATTACCCTGCTCACACTCCAACAGATCGTCAGGTCCCAAGTACCATTCGTCTCCATTCACTCCTATCTAACACGCTCACGCACGCTTGCTGGAAGTCCAAGCCCCTCACCCACAAAACCTCCTTTACCCCCTCCCTCCAACCTTTTCGAGGATGACCCCTACCCTGTCTTCCTTCCCCTACAGATTTATACGCTCTCCATGTCATTCTACTTTGATCCATTCTCTCTAAATGACCAAACCACCTCAACAACCCCTCTTCAGCCCTCTGACTAATACTTTTATTAACTCCACACCTTCTCCTAATTTCCACACTCTGAATTCTCTGCATAATATTTACACCACACATTGCCCTTTGACAGGACATCTCCACCGCCTCGAACTGCCTCCTCGCTGCAGCATTTACAACCCAAGCTTCACACCCATATAAGAGTGTTGGTACCACTATATTTTCATACATTCCCTTCCTTGCCTCCATAGATAATGTTTTTTGTCTCCACATATACCTCAATGCACCACTCACCTTTTTTCCTTCATTAATTCTTTGGTTAACCTCATCCTTCAAACATCCATCCACTGACACATCAACTCCCAAATATCTGAAAACATTCACTTGTTCCATACTCCTCCTCTCCAATTTGGTTTCCAATTTTTCTTTATCTAAATCATTTGATACCCTCATCATGTTACTGTTTTCTATGTTTACTTTCAACTTTCTACCTTTACACACTCTCCCAAACTCATGGTCATAATAGTACTTGGGAAATAGGAGGTAATCAGATTTGATCCATGGAAGGGGAGGGTGACTCCAATTCCTTGAATGAAGAGTCCCTCACCAGCATCAAGGCAACCTTGAAGGGTACAATATTTAATAGAACAAATTACAAATTCTCAGTTATAAATAATCTCATTTTTATGACTTTATACATTATATAATACATATATTTATCATTAGTTATCATATATGTACTTGCTACTACTGGATGGTGACACTCACAGCTTTTGTCTGTGAGTTAAGGGATCAATCCCCAGAAGGATCAAGCCTCCAGTGTTTCACATACTTACAGTTATAATGTGATGTTCTGTAACTCGTATGACATTTCTTTCCTGTTATAACATAGGCCATAAAACTACTTATGACATAATAAAAACAACTTACTGAACCATTCCCTCCATTCAGATTGGCTCTGTAAGTCTGCTGCCATCTTTTCAAAAAACTCTATTAATTTGTCCGGTTTAGTGGTCTGGATAGTATTGATGACATAGAGCCGTAGGATACTTGTTTCTAATTTTCGCACACCTGTAACATTTTAAGACGAGTTATTTTTATAAAAAATAAAAACAGAAAAGTTAATTAAAACCAAAGAAAACTTATTTTATTGTTTCCTGCTTAGTTTGATTACCTACATAGAAGTAGTTTTGTTGTATAAAGAAGCATTAGTTAAATTCAAAGTGAAATTTTATTTGCAAGAACTACAGGGTGTTGATTCAGTTCTGGGATTACATTTTTTGGTACAGTACATTCTAGGAAAAGCCCCTTGTTATGTGAAGCATTTTGGGTAGATTAAAACTGGTACAGGATTCTTTTAAAACAATGGCCACCTCCCACCAAGGTGACTTGAAAAGAAGAAATATTTTCACCGTCACTTATTCAATCACTCTTGCCAGAAGCATGCTGACATCAGTTTAGATAGCCTTCCAAACTGCAACATCGCCAGACTCAAGTCTGGCTAACTAGTTTTCCTGAATTCCTTCATATACTGTAAGTTACCATAGTTATACTCCAACAGCACAACAAGTCACTCACAGCTAATGATCTCACACCAGCCTGTTGGATGTCTAAGCCCCAAGCTCCCAAAACCTTCTTTATCCCCCTTCTTCCAACATGTAATTCAAGTTTTGTGTGACAATTTAGAAGCAATATTTTTTACATGTGCTTAAAAGTGAGTTAGATTACAACAGGGATACAGCAATTGAATAAGATAGCAGCATAAGATGCAACTGACATACTAAATGTTTATAATCCTATACATTGGCACATGAGGTGTTCAAGGTACATATGTAGGTAGAAGACACATCTGTAGTGATCAAGACATTTAACAAGGAAAATATTTGCCATGAGTGGTGCACTAGTGTAAATTATTCAATATTTTATAACATACATGGCAGCAGTGTATGAGGAAGACGAGCGAAAAATCTTCTGTCTAGGTGTGCCCATAATTCCCGAAGTCCTATTAAATCATACGTTTGAATGCTACTCAGCACCTGGTCAACCAAACGATCTACCTGCAAACATACATTAAACGTTTAATTACAGTGTAAATTTTTCTCAAGATTCTATACTATACTACATTTGTGCCTCTTTTACCATCTTGTCAGCATTTTATACCATTTCTCTCAATTCTCTATGTAATGAAAACAAACATAACATAATAACAGTCATGGAATAAGTAAGTTTATTCAGGTATACACAAATACATTTACATAGATTATCATACATAGCAGCATATGTGTAGAGAAACTAGGATAACCCAAAAAAGTCAAAGTGACTTATTTCCATTGGAGAAATGCTAAACTCTTAAGAATCACACAGTAACTAATATTGGTTTCCGCCTCCCTATATCAATGGTGGAACATATTGACATGTTAATAAGGTGGTTTATGGCATTTTGAGAAAACGTTTCACTCACCTGGGTCTTGAGCTCCGATAATGTCCCTGGACGAAACATTTTCTTAACAAAATGTCATAAACCTGTTTCTGTGTCTCAGTAACAAATTCACCCTTGCACCTCTGAGGTTCCATACTTGCTCGGCAATGTAACTTGCAAATTGCACACAAACCAATTAGTAAAAAAAAAAAAAAGGAAACAAGGTGATTTATTAGTGCGCAGCCACTCACCCGAAAGCCCTTGTCTTTATCAATCTTCAGTTCATTGTCAAGTGACCTCACTGTGTGGCTGAAGCCTCGAAACAACAAATATTCTTTGACCAGCTCGTCCAGGTACTGAAGATGTGACATGTTTACTGGCATCAGCTGATCTGGCAGACAGCTGCCTCTGGTAACACTGATGCTCTCCGCCAATCACAGCGCCGCCTCACCTGGCAACACTGACTCTCTCGGCCAATCAGCGTCGAGATTTATTGTTGGTAAACAATTCGCTGGGAGGGGAAGTGGTGGGGGTTGGGAGGGGGAGGGGGAGTGGGCGGAAGAAGAGGAGGAGGACGAGAGTGGGAGGAAGAGCAGAGGGAGGAGGATAAGGGGAGTGGGAGGAAGAGGACAAGAAGGAAGAAGATAAGGAGAGTGGGAGGAAGAGGAGGAGGATAGGGAGAGTGGGAAGAAGAGGAGGAGGATAAGGAGAGTGGGAGGGAGAGGAGGAGGATAAGAAGAGTGGGAGGAAGAGAGGGGGGAGGAAGGAGTGAGCAATGAATGGATGTCTAAGGCAAATGGTGTAAACTGCTGGTCGGACAGGCACTGCGAAGAACTTGCCATCCCATTCATTGACAAGTGAACAAGTACTCACCTAATTGTGGTTGCAGGGGTCGAGACACAGCTCCTGGCCCCGCTTCTTCACTGATCACTGCTAGGTCCTCTCCCTGCTCCATGAGCTTTATCATACCTCGTCTTAAAGCTATGTATGGTTCCTGCCTCCACTACATCACTTGCTAGACTATTCCACTTCCTAACATCCCTGTGAATCATCTGAGTTTTCATCTTCCAATTGTGACCTCTTCTTTCTGTGTCCCCTCTCTGGAACATCCTGTCTCTCTCCACCTTGTCTATTCCATGCAGTATTTTGTATGTCATTATCATGTCTCCCCTGACCCTCCTGTCCTCCAGTGTCGTCAGGCCGATTTCCCTCAACCTTTCTTCGTAGGATATTCCCGTGAGCTCTGGAACTAACCTTGTTGCAAACCTTTGCAACAAGGTGAGTCTGTGAGTTTTAAGAATCACTGGCGTGGGCTGAGATATTATCTGGGTGGGGTTAACTGGTGTGACCTGACAAGTCAGGTAGGTGGTGATGGCTGCCAATATATAATATAATAATATCTTTATTTCTACAAGTACATGTACAAGTTATACAGATCTACCTGACATCAATGACATACTACTATAAGTAAGTAAGTTTATTCAAGTATACACAAATACAGTTACATAGAATTATCATACATAACAGCATATGTGTAGAGAACCTAGGATAACCCAAAAAAGTCAGAGTGACTTATTTCCATTGGGGTCCTTTAATATAGAAAGCCACTTGTTATGCTGAGCATTTCGGGCAAATTAGGTCGGTTTTGTCCCAGGATGCGACCCACACCAGTCGACTAACACCCAGGTACCCATTTTCTGATAGGGAACATAGACAACCAGTGTAAAGAAACACGCCCAATGTTTCTACCCTCGCCGGGAATTTAACCTGGACATTTGCGAGAGCTTTTGACACTAGGCTGCCCAGGCAACGAAGACCAACCTAAAATGATTCTTTCAATTATATAGGAGTCAGATTAGGCAGAATATAGGCCCACTTAAAAACTACTCGGATCAACTCATCGTCAGTGGCCAGGAAATGTGTACAATCTTCAACACTTATTTCCTCTCAGTTTTATACAGGAAAATACTAATGAAATTCTAGAAATAGTTTTTATATTCATCAGGATGGAAATAAGTTATGCACGATGAAGTCACCATTAACATAGACCTCAGACAAATAGATTAAAACCAAACAAATCCCTGGTTCCTGATGAACTTTTCACAAGAGTTTTAAAAGAATGTAAGGAGGAACTTAGCAAACCATTAGATGGTTTTATCAAGATATAAACTGGCATAGTGCCGGATAAGTGGAAAATGGCAAATGTGATATCTACAAAGCAGGAGACAGGTCGTTAGCTCCGAATTATAGACCAGCTAGCCTAACCTCCATTGTGAGAAAACTAAAGCAATCAATAATTGCTGAGGCTGTTCCAAGCCACATTGAAAGTCATAAGTTACAAAATACAAATACAAATGTTTATTTCTTTGTAAAGATTACAATGTGGGGTTTACATATTATGAAATATTGGTTACAATGTGTGATTTACATATAAAATACTGATTACAATGTGGGCCACTATCATCCCTAGCATGACTAGGCATTTCAGGCAAAAATGAACAATAAATCTCATGATTTTTTACGAGTGTACTAATTTTTTTTCGCTAAGGTATTTAAGGCAGTAGACCATGGTAATAATACTGTGTATATGAACTTCAGTAAAACGGAGGAGGAGGGAGAGAAATTCGCAAGTGTTGGCACATCAAACAATTAATACAACAACTATGATATTAAAGAATGTTAAAATGAGGAAGTAGGAAGAGGAATGAGAGGGAAGGGAGGATCCTCGCCCGAGGATCGAACCCGTGACCTTTCCCTTGTGAGTCAAATTGTTCTGGCCACTGAGCTTTGAACTTAGATGCCTTGATGTCAATGAAGGGCTTTTGACTCGACAAACTGAAGACTCCATGCTCTTCCTTGGATCGAATCTGTTTGCCTTTCATTGCTACCAGGAGATATTATGACTCTTACGAGTTTACCTCGTGGTTCTCACACATAACTGATTAATACATTTAAGAAAATAAATACTTGTAAATATTATAATGAACAAAAAAAAACTTACCTTTAAAATAATAATTAATTTTGAATATTTATTAAAATTAAGAACCACGTAGAAAGGGCACCGGTAGACTCCTACACATTATGTAAGGTGCTCAGTGATTGGTCACCATGGGTAAGCTTGGTGAGGCTGAACCAATAAGAGAGCTTCTTTCATCTTAGTATTATCCTCCACAGCTGATCACCTCGACACTCACAAGGTAGACATTATTAACCACTTATATTGCTCTAGTGTCACAATAAAACACAATATTTACCATATGTATATGATTCATAATGAAGGATCTTGCACATATTAAAATTAGTCTTTATTTCTTTTTCTTCGTATCTAAAATAGTGTCTATACAAGCGGCAGACTTGTTTCTTCTATAACGTTCAATTTTCTGTATACAATATCTGAAATATTTATTTCTCAATTAAAATATTATTTATAATGGGCAGTAACACATATGAGGTTTAAATAATTATGTGGCACAATTATAAATTTTTTCCCCCCTCGAGGAGGGAGGTTCCATGATGCTGGTGAGGGGCTCTTGATCTAGGGACTCTGACCCTAGTGAGTTTAGCGCTTTATTTTTTATTATAATCATGATCTAGGGAGTTGGGTCTGTGCTCCACTTCCCTGAATTAAACCTGTATGCCTTCCATCCCCTCCCCCCACATTTTAGACAGGTCAAACTCGCACCCACTCATAAACCTGTCCAGCCTAAAATTCAACCACACAATGGAAAATCAAGGACCCCAATGGAAATAAGTAAGAGATAAGATTTTGTTTGTATTTTTAACCCCAGAGGTTTATCTACCCAGGATAACCCAAGAAATTCAGTGCGTCATTGAGGACTGTCTTGCCTTATTTCCACTGATCTAGGGTCCTTAAATTTTGTCCCCCAGGATGTAACCCACACCAGTAGACTAACACCCAGGTACCTACTTGCTTGCTAGGTGAACAGGACAACTGGTGTAAAGAAACGCCCAATGTTTCCACCCTTGTTGGAGATTGAACTATGGACACTCAGTGTGTAAAGTGAGTGTTGCCTACCAGGCAAGTTTACTTGGGCACAGGTACACAAGTACAGTTATCATACATAGTGTAAGTTGCCTAGGATAACCCTATCTTAATCTTATTTTAACTCCCCCTTAAAAGTCAGTGACTTGTTTCCATTGGGTCCTTGATTTCCACTTTCTTTTTTGTTATCTTGGTGAGTAATTTACACATTAAACTATGTGTGATAATTGTATTTGTGTCTCACAAAATCGTAATGACACGATTGCAAACAAACCATACCCCGGCCGGGATTGAACTCGCGGCTAGCTGGTCTAGTGGCTAACGCTACGGGCTGGAGTTTTGAGACTCTCTGACCGCGGGTTCAATCCCGGCTGGGGTATGGTTTGTATTTGTGTGTACCTGTACCTAAATAAACTTACTGCAAGGCTGCACAAGTCTTCAGTGTTTCAGCTGACCAGAGCAACTGCTGGCTAAATCATCATTTTTTTTTTTTTTTTTAGCCAGCATAATGTTCATTGCTTAACCATAATGGTAGTGTATGTGCTGCATAACAAACATCTTACTACAATATGATTTATTAATTTTTCAGATTAAAAATGGCCGGTGATTCAGGTGTAGACAGTTCCCAGTTCAAGGGTTTGTCTCGCTACTTTAATGGAACCACATTGGCTGGAAGAGCTAATGTAAGTTAGTAGAGGATTCACATTTTCTTTTGACATATTTCTTCTTTTGCTAAATATGTATAACCCCCTGTACATTTGACAGTGGTATTCACTCGATCATGAGGATATACTGGTTCAACATTGGTTAAAATTGAAATGTTCTAAGGTTACTTAAATTTTTTTTTCAGGTGGCAAAGGCAACATATGCAGTTGTGGGGCTCCTTATTGCTTATGCAGTGTTTAAACCTTCAAAGAAGTGAATGTGAAAATTTATGCATATATATATATATATATAAATTAGCTCTGTCATGTTAATAAATAGTACTTAGGTGTTTTTGTTTATTATTACCCACGTTTCTGTGAAAGATACAAAGTAAGCTATGAATAACTAATGAATTGTACTTTATTTTGGAAGTTTAATGAATTAGCTTCAGATCACTCTTAAAATCAAATTGTAAGACTAGATTTAGTAATGTGCAAATTGTTGTATTAATCCTTACTGTCCGAACGTAGATCTACGTTCACGTGCGTAGCGCTCCGACCTTTATTTTCCCCATTTGAAAGCATGTAAAAAAAAAGTAGATCTATGTTCAGAGCCCCCCGCACGTGGACGTAGATCTACAACCAATCAGCAACATGCACAGATGAAACAAAAAATGAGCTTATTCCTTTCACCACATAATGATATCCCAAGTCCTTCATGCTGGTAAAATATTCTTAATCTAAGAACAGCTGTATAATCCCTATGAGTTTAGATCTCCCCATATTATTATTATAATAAAAAAGAAGCACTAAACCTACAAGGGTCATATAGTGCAGCAGGGCAGGGAAGGGTGCAGAGGTATTGGGTAGCAAGAGGGAGGGGGATCAGTCCTCCCCATAATAATGATAATTAATCAAAGGATAGTGCTGTATGACCCTTGTGGGTTTAGCGCTTAATTTTTATTGCAATAATTAATCAAGGGACTTGGAGCATACCCTCCTTTCCTTAGATTAAATGTAAGACGTGCCTGATTTCTGAATTATCAGAAATGCTAATCCCATATGGTTCATTCATCACTCCTGCTGAGTTCTGAAAAGTGATGTTGCCGTATAAACCCTATGGATTGGTTTAGCGCTTCCCCATTATAATAATGGGGGAGCATCAGGGGGTAACCCCTTCTCTTGAAGGGGTTACCCCCTGATGCTGTCATCTTATTAGGGGTGTTGGGGGTTGTACCTAAGAGTGCTGTATGATCCTAGTGGGTTTAGCACTTGGTTATGACTAGTAATAATTGTACCTAAGAGTCCCCTTGAGGGAGGTTACCCTCAAGGAAAGTTCCTTGATGCTGGTGAGGGGCTCTTGATCTAGGGCATTGGATCTGTGCTCCAGTTCCCTGAATACCTTCCACATCCTCCCCATAGGCACTATAATCCTTTGGGTTTAGAGCTTCCCCTTGATTATAATAATAATAATAATTGAGGGAGGTTCTTTGATGCTGGTGATGGATTCTTGATATAAAAATTTAACCCGTGCTCCTTCTTTGCACTGAATTCGAGTGCCTCCCACTCTTTCCATATGCTCCCCTCAAGGGAGGTTTTTTGATGCTGGTGAGGGGGCTCTTAATCTAGAGAATTGGATCTGTGCTCCAGTTCGCTGAACTGAGCCTGAAAACCTTACACCCCCCCCCCAGGCATTGTATAATCCCTACGGGTTTAGTGCTCCCCATGATTATAATAACCTCCCCATGTGCTGTATGAGCCTTGTGTGTTTTGTGCTCACCCATGAATGTAGTAGTACTAACAATGTGCCTAGGGTAAGGGGCCTTTTCTCTGGGAAGGATGCTTGCTTGACTAAGAACCCAACATATTTCAACATAACACAGAACAAGCCACACGAGGAGGGAGTAGAAAAACCTCAAACTCATCAAAGGTATATCAAAAGAGGGGCCCCTCTTGCAATAAGATTTAGATAAACAACTTTAGCACAGGTAGTGGGCTACCAAGGGTAACATTTGAGGAAATGGTTGTAAAAGCTGTGTGGAATATCAGCAGAAGTCAAAGATGCATTCTCAGTGAATGATGTCTGGATAGAGTGAGTAATGCTTCATATATCAAATCTGCACCCTTAATTTGCTTATTTAAAGGTCAATGGGTAAAATAAAATGCAAATTCTAGTTTTCAGAGGTTCATTCAAGGATATCTTGATACTAGTCACTATTGATAATAAAATTTACAATGTACATGATGAGTAAGAGTAAAATACAGTAGCCCCATTGGTACAAATACACCTTTCTGTACATTATGTATTTATACATACATCATCCTATTATGATGCACTTAAGTCACTATTTTGATAATGAAATTATGGGAAAAACTGATATACTGTACATGATGAAAAAACATCATAATGAATTCTCTAGCAATACTTGGCACACTTTGTTTCCAGGAGTTTATGATTGCTCCTCTGAGCAACTAACGAATGACCATGTAATATAAGTCCTCAAATATGTTACTGATAATTCAATGGAGTAATCAGGATTTGAACACACAGTCGCTCAGTGCGAATTTTCAGCACATTTTCATCATAAGATTGTCTTTAAAATGCTTAAGTATACACTGTATTTACAATCACTTCATTATTGTCTTTCTCAATTTCTTAAGCAATGTCATATATGTATATACATATATAAACACAATTTTAACTGAAAATACAGGTTAGTTATTTATCTAAGAAATTAATACATTCACATTAGGGCTAAAGAGAAAGAGAATGTATGAGGGAAGAGTAAAACAAGGAATACATTTGAGTAAAATACTTGACTATCAAGAAATAAATCCTTAAACTAAAATCAAGAATATACACACTGAAATATTTGTGTGATGACATGCAAACATTTGATCATCAGAGTACCCTGGCAGACATATCTAAATCTGTCACAAATAGACAGAATTCCTTGTATTCCACTACAGGTTCTTAAATGGTCACATAAATCTTATGTGTGGATGGCCAAGTAGGATTTTTTTTTTTACATACACAACCTGTTACACTTTTTACTAATATTCTGTAATGCTCTACAATGAATTACATATTGAAACTAAAGAGCCTAGGTCCACAATATGCTGATGTTACTTACAGGTAACTAAGTCTAGGTAAAAGCTGCCTAATAATTGTCAATTAAACAAATGTGCAATCTTTAAAAATATACAGATCCCATTCAAAATGAATAGAGCAATAAAGGAAGAGAATTACTTTGATGGTTATCTGCAATTATTGACCTACTTCAGTGGAATAATTCAGTACCTGAGTGATATAAAAATCTTGATGATACTGTGTAACTGCACAATAAAAATAATAACTTTTACAGCAATATTATCATGCCTATAAAATGCATCTTAGTATTGTAGTAGAAATTTGACTGAAATGCAATTTATTCAGCAATAAATCATTGCTAATTTAATAATGGAGTAAACAGGTAATTGGTTCCTTGATGCCGTTTTAATAAATTCTTCTACGACTTATTGATTTAGGTTTAAAGTTATGTAAGTAAAGCCCTTACTAATCAATAGTTGCAATACAGCACTGAATATTCAATTGGAGTATTGTATCTACATATAATAATAATATCACCTTATATCCTAAAAATTTAGTTTTCTCAGGTTGTTGTTGGGCGTGGCTTGAGGATCAGTTTCCCTGTGTCATCACACGACATATTGAAGTCCACCAGAACTGCCCGCGTTCGAGATGTAATTATTGAGGGTGATACCACTTTTTTGTGAATGCCCATTATGAATAACAGAACTGAAAAAGCAATAATAAATTGTTTTAATATTTTATATTTATTAAACTTTGTCCATTCATAGCCAGTCTACACCATATTTTAATATTTTTTTTTATTATTATTAACACATCGGCCGTTTCCCACCAAGGCAGGGTGGCCCGAAAAAGAAAAAATTTCATCACTGTCTTGCCAGGGACATGCTTACACTACAGTTATAAAACTGCAGCATTAACACCCCTCCTTCAGAGTGCCGGTACCGTACTTCTCACCTCCAGGAATCAAGTCTGGCCTGCAGGTTTCCCTGAATCCCTTCATAAATGTTTCCTTGCTTACACTCCAACATCAAGTCCTAAAAACCATTTGTCTCCATTGACTCCTAACACGCTCATGCACGCTTGCTGGAAGTCCAAGCCCCTTGCACACAAAACCTCTTTTACCCCCTCCCTCCAATCTTTCAAAAGCTGACCCCTACCCTGCCTTCTCTCCACTACTAATCTCCAAACTACAGATTCTCTGCATTATATTCACACAACACATTGCCCTCAGACATGACATCTCCACTGTCTCCAGCCTTCTCCTTGTTGCATCATTCACAACCCATGCCTCACACCCATACAAGAGCATTGGTATAACTATACTCTCATACATTCCTCTCTCTGCTTTCATGGATAAAGTTCTTTGTCTCCAAAGACTCCTAAGTGCACCACTCACCTTTTTCCCCCCTCATTAATTCTATGATTCACCTCATCCTTCACAGACCCATCTGCTGACACGTCCACTCCCAAATACAGTGGACCCCCGCATAACGATTACCTCCGAATGCGACCAATTATGTAAGTGTATTTATGTAAGTGCGTTTGTACGTGTATGTTTGGGGGTCTGAAATGGACTAATCTACTTCACAATATTCCTTATGGGAATAAATTCGGTCAGTACTGGCACCTGAACATACTTACGGAGTGAAAAAATATCGTTAACCGGGGGTCCACTGTATATGAACACATTCACCTCCTCCATGCTCTCTGCCTCCAATCTGATATCCAATCTTCTGTTACCTATTTTTTGAATCCTCATCACCTTACTCTTTCCTATATTCACTTTTAATTTCCTTCTTTTACATACCCTACCAAACTCATCAATAATAATAAAATAATAATAATAATAATAATCTTTCTTTCAACACACCGGCTGTATCCCACCGAGGTGGGGTGGCCCAAAAGGAAAAACGAAAGTTTCTCCTTTTACATTTAGTAATATAAACAGGAGGAGCTACTAGCCCCTTGCTCCTGGCATTTTAGTCGCCTCTTACAACACGCATGGCTTACGGAGGAAGAATTCTGTTCCACTTCCCCATGGAGGTAAGAGGAAATAAACAAGAACAAGAACTAGTAAGAAAATAGAAGAAAACACAGAGGGGTGTGTACATATATGCTTGTACATGTATGTGTAATGTGACCTAAGTGTAAGTAGAAGTAGCAAGACGTACCTGAAACCTTGCATGTTTATGAGACAGAAAAATGGACACCAGCATTCCTACCATCATGTAAAACAATTACAGGCTTTTGTTTTACACTCACTTGGCAGGACGGTAGTGCCTCCCTGAGCGGTTGCTGTCTACCAACCTACTACCTAGAATAATAATAATAATAATAATAATAAGCCTGCAAAAGCTTAAAATCTTCATTCATACCCCTCTTCGTGAAGTTTTCATCCCTTAACCCCTAAGCGGTCCAAACGTATATGTACGTTCTCTCGTGTAGCGCCCCCAACGTATATATGTTTTCTTTGTTGTTCATTCAACATTGCCACGATAAGCCAGAATCACCTAGACATGAGAGAATGGGTGTGCGCACTCACTGTGCACCATATTAAAATAATTGGGGATGCCTGGGTACTATATGCTTTTTTTTCCTATTAAAAAAAAATTTTTTTTCCTCAAAAAAATTTGGGGCGCTATGCGAGTGAACGTATATATGTATACGTTTGGACCGTTTAAGGGTTAAATACTCTATACATTTTTTATTCAATTTTATTTGACTCTTCTATTATACTGTACAAGATGTTACATCAAGTGACAACTTATACAGTATACAGTGGACCCCCGCATAACGATTACCTCCGAATGTGACTAATTATGTAAGTGTATTTATGTAAGTGCATTTGTACGTGTATGTCTTGGGGTCTGAAATGGACTAATCTACTTCACAATATTTCTTATGGGAACAAATTCGGTGAGTACTGGCACCTGAACATACTTCTGGAGTGAAAAAATATCGTTAACTGGGGGTCCACTGTAATAGTTTTTCTTTGAAAGCCTAGCTTCACACAGATAAAGATTGGCAAAGCAACTCTTCATATAAGCATCTTATGCATCCAGTACCCCAGTTCAACTATGCTTTATCTTTTTTTAATAGTTTCATAGTTTTAACTGTTACCATCTCACTGCTTAATGACGCTAAACACTACTCCCCGAGTCTCACTCTACATCATTCAAATCTTTTCTCTTACCATTTTTCTTTCAAAAATTTGCCTCCATACTATTTCACTAAAGAAAGTTATCACTCAAGTTACCATTATTACCTGTTCAATACTGTACATATACGTACTGAACATCAACGCCTCGTGTGATTTTTGGCACATCTTGGATGTGAACATGCAGCCATTTTTAAGTGACTGATTTAATCAAACAGAAAGAGAATTTTTTTTTTCCAATGGAACAAGAAAGTGCTTTGATCTTACTTAATGCAGAGGCAGCAAAAGTGAAGAAGAGGTGATTAAGAAGAGACTGGAGAAACGATGCATCCTGTGTTAAAGGATCCGTGAGCCAGAGGTAGGCACCAAGAGCCGTGCTGAGTGCCACAAATGCCAGTACCACTGAAAAGAAAACAATGTTGATATACACTATATACTGTATTAAATAAAGGTTGCATTACTGCATTTACCTAAATAAGGAATAAAACAGAGTCACTTGCAAGTCATGTTTGCTATTTATAAATAATAAAATAAAAAAAAAAGGTTTCAAAGAATTTTAAGCTGGAATTATGATAAAATAATTTGAAATGAATAATTATCAAATATGGTACTAGTCGTTTAACAACTGAATACTTTTGCATCTTCAGTACAATGTAACTTTTTCCAGCTAAAAACAAATGCTTGGATATAAAGATGAAAACTTCATACTAGAACATAGATAACTAAAGAGGATGCAGTCCTACATTGGTTTAATATATGTTTTTAATAATAATAATAATAATAATATTCCATGGGGAAATGGGACAGAATTCTTCCTCCGTAAGTCATGCGTGTTGTAAGAGGCGGCTAAAATGCCAGGAGCAAGGGGCTAGTAACCCCTTCTCCTGTATAAATTACTAAATTTAAAAAGAGAAACTTTTGTTTATCTTTTTGGGCCACCCTGCCTTGGTGGGATACTGCCGGTGCATTAAAAAAAGAAAATAATAATAATAATAATAATAATAATAATAATGGAGAGCGCATAAATCTGTAGGGAAAGGAAGGAGGGGTAGGGGTCGTCCTCGAAAAGGTTGGAGGGAGGGGTAAAGGAAGATTTGTGGGCGAGGGGCTTAGACTTTCAGCAAGCATGCGTGAGCGTGTTAGATAGAAGTGAATGGAGACGAATGGTATTTGGGACCTGATGAGCTGTTGGAGTGTGAGCAGGGTAATATTTAGTGAAGGGATTCAGGAAAACCGGTTAGTTTTATATAGCCAGACTTGAGTACTGGAAAGGGGAAGCACAATGCCTGCACTTTAAAGGAGGGGTTGGGATATTGGCAGTTTGGAGGGATATGTTGTACAGTGGACCCCCGCATAACGATTACCTCCGAATGTGACCAATTATGTAAGTGTATTTATGTAAGTGCGTTTGTACGTGTATGTTTGGGGGTCTGAAATGGACTAATCTACTTCACAATATTTCTTATGGGAACAAATTCGGTCAGTACTGGCACCTGAACATACTTCTGGAGTGAAAAAATATCGTTAACCGGGGGTCCACTGTATATCTTTATACATATATGCCTCTAAACTGTTGTTCTCTGGGCACCTCTGCAAAAACAGTGATTATGTATGAGTGAGGTGAAAGTGTTGAATGATGATGAAAGTATTTTCTTTTGGGGATTTTCTTTCTTTTTGGGTCACCCTGCCTCGGTGGGAGACGGCCGACTTGTTGAAAAAAAAAATAATAGTAATAGTAATAATAATAGTAATAATAATAGTAATAGTAATAATAATAATAATAATAATAATAATAATAATAATAATAATAATAATAATAATGTCTGAGGGTGTATAAATCAGGTGTGGATTGAAGATTTAGGGTATCCAAGGCAAGATTGGAAGAAGGGTGTGAAAGAGGCATTGAGAAGTAAGGAATTGAACATCTAGCAGGCATGTGAAAATAATTAGAGCAGAGTGAGTAAACAGTTAGTCCATGCGATTTGAGGTGCTGTTAGGGTGTGAAAAAGGTAACATATACTCAGGGAAACCTGACTTGCCAGATGGTTGGCAAGTGCAGTAGCTACACTTTGAAACTCAGATTTTATGGTGTTTAGTGGTTTAACATTAAGCTATGCAGTCTGTGACATTCTAGAAAGGAGACAGAAAATGAATGATGGTTAACAGGTCTTTTCTTTTAAGTTACCACATAACTTCAAAATGTTGAGGAATGTAATTTCAGTTCAGGGTCTTTCTATTTAGTTTCTTTAATCTCTCCTCAGCTCTGAGGCTATATGTACTGTATTGGTTGCAAATATTTGTACCTTTTCAAGCTCCTGGATATATTTAATCAGGTGAAGGGGGGGCCACATGCTTACACTGCATATTCTAAAATGACCAATATGTACATTGTGTGGAGTGTTTAATAGACTCTGCTTTAAAGTTTCTGAAAGAGCAATAAGGATATTTATTTCAGTGGCACTGTCTCTGATGCTGGGAATATTAAGGTGGTAATGCATGTTAAGACCAAACTTTTTTTCATTTTGTTTTACTGGCCTGCCTATGCCAACTTCCATGGACAAACAGATTTAACTTCAGTTAGTGCAGAACCAAATTAAAAACCAGAAAACACTGCGTTCAGTTTCCTTGCACAGCACGAGTCCAAAAGTCTCTCCTTAAGTGTTGTACCTAACATTTAATTTTCTGTGTAGTCAGACAGTATGAGTACACAACATAAACTACTAAAGTACAATTAGTAGGTACTATACTCACTTCTCCAACGGGTCGTGGCAGGCTGCAGTCGAGCAATTACTTCTGTTAACCGTCGCTCAAATGCTTTTAGATCTGAAACATAAAAGTTCGTTTAATGTTGTATCTGAATTTTATCTTTGGTTTTTCAACTGGTGTATTCAAACCAATTCAATTCAAAATAAGTTTATTCTTGTTTTAATCTTGTACTGCATTGTCCTTAACTATACAGTATTTATAACTACATGTATTTCCTGTGAGGGGCATTAAACCTCTGTATGGTTGGCCAAGGTCCCATTTGCTTTTATGCAGATTTGATAAGTTTCTGCCATATTTTCCAGGTGTAAATTATAATGTGGTGTATTTGTCTCACCCACATTCCAGAGAACATTCCCAATAATTTACAATGAGTTTACACAATGAAAATTCTATGTACATCCTTCATATTTGAAATTTTGCCTGCCTTAAATGGGGCTATCAGTGTACAGCTATTTCAGTCTAATGAGTACAAATGACCTTAAGAGATATGATAATCTTAAGAGACACGATGCAGGTAAGTACTGTGCTTTAGGAATACCCAACTAAAAAGACAACAATCACTTTGCTAGATAAAATATGCTTGCAGCACAAATCCAAAATATTGTGGACACAGGAAAACAAGAGGGGCTATAGTGTTCAGATAGCTTACACATGCAATATTTTATTCTCAGTGTCAACAGTGTTAGCTAAGCTGCTTATATTACAGTATACTCTTGTACAGTATACTATTAACAGTTGTCCATTACAGATATCAAATAGAATTATTCATGTTTACATATACTCGGCTATACAGGCTGACTGGACTGGACCCCTGTGAATAACCCATGAAGCTGATTATCATCATTATTATTATTAATACATTCCTAGCAAAGCACTAAAACTATGTGTAATTCAAAGCAGGTGCTGACAGTAGAAGTAAAGGCACAGAAGAAGTATGAGAGAAAGGAGGCAGTGTGGAGGCAGCAAATCTGTTTCAAATGGAAAGTCAGACAGACTCCACAATAAAAATGGGACTTTCAGAGGAAACAGCAGACAAGAATAAGCATGTCAGAGCATTGAAGGAGAGATCAAAAATGAAGTCAGCATACTCTCTGATGAGCAGGAGAATCTATCAAAAGATGGTGATCTATAAGCATGACCTGACAATTTTTGTAGTGTGGCACTGGGTGCTATAAAAATAGTGGAATGCAGTATAAAGTATTTGCATGGCTATCTACAGAAATACTGTAAATTGTCAAGTGAATACCATTGGAGATACAGTGAAGGGCATATAACAAAAAAACAACCATGACTGAGATCTTCTGTTACACAATACAGTATACCATACTGTGTGGACGGTTATACAATATGTAGCTGAATTTACTTGTAAGTTACATAAAAAAAAATATAAAAAAAATATTGAATGAAGTTTAAAGGTTGACTGCTTACCTTCACATGCTGTCTGCTCAAGAGACATGTCTGCTAGAGTCCTTCCTGTAAAAGTAAAATTGAGCAATTATTCCAAGATGAGGAAAGTTTTGGCTTTTCATTGCTGTACTCTCTCGAACATTTTTAATTAAGCTACAACATTAATAAACAGAATACTTTATAGTTTTAATTAGTGTATATCACTCCAAATGAGTACACATAAACAAGTCATTTTTTACCAGGCAATCCTCATCCTTCAGACAGTATTGTCACCAAAGAACAAAATAAGTCATATTAGTAATGAACACATGGGTAATATACTTTACCCAAATAAACTGTATCTACTGAGCATTTGCTTCCACTTATGTCCCAATGAAAATTAATCAAACCACAGATTATCAAACAAATCAATCTATACATCAATAAATCAATACAATACTGAGCATCAAAAAAATTATCTCTCATTGAGAAAACCCATTTTGATGGTTAGGTTGGCTCATGTTTTGGCAAAGCTAATTACGATACCATAACTTATTGTAACTACAATTGAGTAATCCAAAATAAGAAAATTTAATTAGGCCTTGTACATAATTTAAAACTTTTACAATAGTTTTACATAGCAAATTATGTAGAATCTAACCTAAGACAACTCAATTACGTCAAAAACTGCTTTATTTTCACCGGGGTTCTTGCATTAAATATGGTAGTCAGTATAGTACATACTTAGATTTATTATTACATAGGCATCAATAGATGTCACCGTATTCTTTACCCTTAGTGATATTAAAGTCAATGAACACACAAATGAACATATCAGTAAAAGAAGTTTTTAACACACTGGATGTCTCCCCACAAAGGTAAGGTGGCCCTACAAAAAGGAAACACATTCACCAGAAGTGTGCAGACATCATAATCTGAATTACTCTCAAAACTGTAGGCACTATACTTCTCACCTTCAGGACTCAAGCCTGGCTAACCGGTTCTCCCTGAATCTCTTCATAACTGTCACTTTTCTTGCACTCCAACTTCATATCAAGCCAGAAAAACCATTCATCTCCATTCACTCCAGAAGAGCACCCAAAATCTTCTTTATCCTCTCTCTCCAACCCATCCATAGGTGACCCCCTACTCCTAATTCTCTCCACCTCATATTTATACACCCTCTTGGTCATCCTGTTCTGCTCCAGCCTTCTTAAATTCCTGAACTATCTCCTCAGCCCTCTGAATTATACCTTTAGTAACCCCACTCTGTCTTCAAATTTCTACACTCTGAATTCTATGCATAATATTCACACCACACACAATGCTCTCAAACCAATTATGAATATTTTAACAATACAAGAAATCACTACCTTCCATTCTGCAGTTTCATTTATTACAGATTCCTTAATTGTTTTAAATTGTTTTATACTAAGACTGGCCTTGATATGAACAGGTAACTCACTCCAACACTCGATTTACATATTGTTGTACAGAAAAAAAAGTTTTGTTTTGAATATATCAAGGAAATATTGATGTAAAGCATCAATATGTACTGGTATTGTTCTGTTTAATTCAGTCAGTATTTAACTCAATACCAATCTTTCTTTGAATTTTGATTGTAGATACTATATATATTACATAGTAATTAAGAAGAATGTAAGAGGAATAAGACTGTACATCATCCAAAAAATGGCAAATTTAAGTCAGAGTTCAAGTCAAGAGTTACAGAAATAACATTAAAAATTTGTATAACATCACTACCAAATCTTGAGGACAAATACTGGCCCAACAATGGGTACAGTTTAGAGCCACAATAGTACACAGTTCAGGGATATGCGGTACACGTAAAAACAGAAGCCTGTTCAATGTATTTCAACTCTGGCAAGATTGCTCTCTTTCCTCTCTATTTCAAGAATAAGTGAATATATGGCCATTTTTTCTCTTCAAAGTTTAATTACCCTGTGGTAATCAGTCCTTCAGCCTCAAAGACCTATACACAGAAGACAGTAGATGAGGTACTCAGTCCTTCAGTCTTGCAGAACTGTCCACAGAAGATAAAACAAGATGAGGTAATCAGTCCTTCTTCATCTTGTCATTACATATCAATTTTACAATGATTTGGTCAGGCTGTCACTGCTTGCAGCTCACACAGTCAACAAGTTTTGCCATTTCACCCTGTAACTATTCTCTTTCTTAAATGTTAAACGCAATTTTGTTCCATTAACTGATGACATTGCCGAGAACAGGTCACTCACTGATTAGTCAGTGAGGTCAGATCAGACTTTTTCTGATAGTAAGTTTATATATGCTCAGGTATACATAAGTACAATCATCATATATAAATTACCTAGTTTAACCCCCTAAAAGAAAGTCAAAAGTGACTTATTTCCACTGGGATCCTTGACACTCGCTGAAATGTTATTTAGAGCTGTAAATTTCCCATCACAGACCTGAACACTGTCACGTGTGTTACACAACACTTATGCGTGTTACAATCTTACAAGAAAGAGCAAAAATGTGAACTAACTTTCCCAAATGGACTCAGTAACGCGGACGTTTTGTCCCTCACAAGTGACGACAGAATTGTCCCTGGAGGGTCCGAGCCATGGCCGTGCTGGTGACCCCTCACACTGTTGCTCTGGTGTCTGCCACATCACAGAGCCACACAGGGTGCTCCTACCTTAGTGATAAGAGATAATAAGTATCAGTCATGAGGGCCAAGCCAGGACAGCTGAGTCTCACTGTTGATGTTGATGGTGGACTTATCAAGGGCCAACACAGCTTGAGCCGTATAGGAATCCTGTCTACCGCTTTCCAGGCAGAAAATATTGCCCAAATCTCGACAGAAGTGTAAAATAAAATAGTCCTCACAAAATAATTAAAGTGTACTTTTTATTTATTTAAATCTCAGAGAGAGCCATGCGACAATACCATACTCGAGTTAGTGGCCGGATTTTCTATAAAGCCGTACACCGGCGCCCATAATGTAAACAAACACTGTGTGTTGATTGGTTGATGCTCATATAGGCTCAGCCAATCAGCACTTCCAAATTGCCGTTGACCTGTGCCACGTTCAAAATTAAGTAGAAAAAAAAAAGAGTAGTTTTCACTGTGATATTTTATACTTTTCGCAATATAATAATTAATATTTTTTTTCACGGAATTCTTATGTGAAATTTTATTTTAATATTTTTTTGTGCTATTCACTACTTCTGTTTTTAGTGATATTTTATTTATTTATTTATTTATTTGTTTGTTTATTTAATTTATTTATTTATTTATTTATTTATGTCTTTGGAAACAGTGCATTGAGATTATGTATTTACAATAATGGGTTGCAAGCAATGAGAGCCTTTATTATGCCTAGGCATTATAAGCCAACTTAACATTATTGGTTTACAGTCTACTTAACACTAAGGTTTATATCACTAAGAATTATATCATAATTGTATAGTAGATTATTAATTGTAAGTGAATCTAATTTATATATGACATAAGATATATTCATATATTCAAAAATGCTTTTTGTGAAACAATGATTCAATTATATTCCTGTTAACAATGGATAAAATGTTCAAAAGTAATTGTTGAAGTTATGATGTGGGAGAACATATTGAGTAAGTGTGTACTGAGTATTTAGTATTTAGTCTAGGGTGATTAAGTGGCTTTTGAGAAGAGTCTTAAATTGATTTTCAGACTGGGTTACTTCAGTATCTTCTAGTAATGAATTCCATATTTTGGGGCCCTTTATGTGCATAGAGTTTTTACACAGTGTGATATGGACACGAGGTATATCAAAAAGATGTGTCTTGTGTTGTGGTCTTGTGTCCTGTTAAGGTTGGTGAGAAGTTTGAGTGGAGGGTGCTGGCGGGAGTGGGAATTTGTTATCATTCTGACTGCTGCCTTTTGCTGGGTTATTAGAGGTCTTAGGTGATTGGATGTTGTTGATCAGCATGCACAAATTCCATATGTGAGATAAGAGTATATGAGTAAATGGTACAAAGCTGATTGTGGAACGTAATACCGCATCTTTGATAGTATGCCTACATGCCTACAGTCTTGGAGATTTTCTTGGTGATTTGTTGTATATGTGTCTGGAACTTAATGCTACTGCCAAGGTGGATAATGCTCTATGCTGCTCATGTAAAAATATGATTGACTAATAATAAAAGCATAAATTCACTATGAATAACAATAGTTTATGGCAGCCTGAGAGGCACGAGGCTCCCAGGCTTTGACTATTTTTGGTTATCCTGGTGGATAATTTAACATGTCTTAAACTATGTATGATAATTGTACTCACGTGTACCTGTGCCTAAATTAACTTACTAATTTCAGAGGCAATTTTCTAATTTTTGATGATCATAAAAGCCTCAGCTATGCATGTTATCACGTGTGTGTATGATATTGAAGACAATATAATCCAGTCCTCGTGGGAAAAGTAATTCCAGGTCTGAAGATTGAGACACTTATGCAGCATATGGAAATCTTTATTCAGGAAACGTTTCGCCACACAGTGGCTTCATCAGTCCAATACAAAGAGGAAGGCGTAAGGAGAGGAGGAGAATGAGGTAATCAGGGACTGATTACCTCATTCTCCTCCTCTCCTTACGCCTTCCTCTTTGTATTGGACTGATGAAGCCACTGTGTGGCGAAACGTTTCCTGAATAAAGATTTCCATATGCTGCATAAGTGTCTCAATCTTCAACTTGTCGGTTTTTCAAACCATTCATCACAATTCCAGGTCTTCCTGGACTTGGTACTAGTGACCAGGAGTGTTATTGAATCACTGTTGACTTGGTACTAGTGACCAGGAGTGTTATTGAATCACTGTTGACTTGAACATTAAAATGGTATAAAATACCGACAGGTTGTTAGGTAAGACACATATGCAACAGCTAGGTATCTTTATTTTGAAACGTTTCGCCTACACAGTAGGCTTCTTCAGTCGAGTACAGAAAAGTTGATAGAAGCAGAAGATACTTGAAGACGATGTAATCAGTCCATCACCCTTAAAGTTTTGAGGTGGTCAGTCCCTCAGTCTGGAGAGCATTGTTCCATAGAATGAAACAATATGGAGATGAAGTGACAGGATGGAGCCTATTTATAGCGCCAACAGGTGAGACGTAGGTCACTAGGAGAGGTAAGAACTCAGATGTTGGGAGGTCAGGTCCCTCTCAAATCCAGCCGTTCTCACTAGTAGAGGTTGTAAAAGTTGATTGTAGGTCTGTACCAAGATACCCTTGTGTTGCAGTGTCTGACAGGTTGAACATTAAAATGGTATAAAATACCGACAGGTTGTTAGGTAAGACACATATGCAACAGCTAGGTATCTTTATTTTGAAACGTTTCGCCTACACAGTAGGCTTCTTCAGTCGAGTACAGAAAAGTTGATAGAAGCAGAAGATACTTGAAGACGATGTAATCAGTCCATCACCCTTAAAGTTTTGAGGTGGTCAGTCCCTCAGTCTGGAGAGCATTGTTCCATAGAATGAAACAATATGGAGATGAAGTGACAGGATGGAGCCTATTTATAGCGCCAACAGGTGAGACGTAGGTCACTAGGAGAGGTAAGAACTCAGATGTTGGGAGGTCAGGTCCCTCTCAAATCCAGCCGTTCTCACTAGTAGAGGTTGTAAAAGTTGATTGTAGGTCTGTACCAAGATACCCTTGTGTTGCAGTGTCTGACAGGTTGAACATTAAAATGGTATAAAATACCGACAGGTTGTTAGGTAAGACACATATGCAACAGCTAGGTATCTTTATTTTGAAACGTTTCGCCTACACAGTAGGCTTCTTCAGTCGAGTACAGAAAAGTTGATAGAAGCAGAAGATACTTGAAGACGATGTAATCAGTCCATCACCCTTAAAGTTTTGAGGTGGTCAGTCCCTCAGTCTGGAGAGCATTGTTCCATAGAATGAAACAATATGGAGATGAAGTGACAGGATGGAGCCTATTTATAGCGCCAACAGGTGAGACGTAGGTCACTAGGAGAGGTAAGAACTCAGATGTTGGGAGGTCAGGTCCCTCTCAAATCCAGCCGTTCTCACTAGTAGAGGTTGTAAAAGTTGATTGTAGGTCTGTACCAAGATACCCTTGTGTTGCAGTGTCTGACAGGTTGAACATTAAAATGGTATAAAATACCGACAGGTTGTTAGGTAAGACACATATGCAACAGCTAGGTATCTTTATTTTGAAACGTTTCGCCTACACAGTAGGCTTCTTCAGTCGAGTACAGAAAAGTTGATAGAAGCAGAAGATACTTGAAGACGATGTAATCAGTCCATCACCCTTAAAGTTTTGAGGTGGTCAGTCCCTCAGTCTGGAGAGCATTGTTCCATAGAATGAAACAATATGGAGATGAAGTGACAGGATGGAGCCTATTTATAGCGCCAACAGGTGAGACGTAGGTCACTAGGAGAGGTAAGAACTCAGATGTTGGGAGGTCAGGTCCCTCTCAAATCCAGCCGTTCTCACTAGTAGAGGTTGTAAAAGTTGATTGTAGGTCTGTACCAAGATACCCTTGTGTTGCAGTGTCTGACAGGTTGAACATTAAAATGGTATAAAATACCGACAGGTTGTTAGGTAAGACACATATGCAACAGCTAGGTATCTTTATTTTGAAACGTTTCGCCTACACAGTAGGCTTCTACAGTCGAGTACAGAAAAGTTGATAGAAGCAGAAGATACTTGAAGACGATGTAATCAGTCCATCACCCTTAAAGTTTTGAGGTGGTCAGTCCCTCAGTCTGGAGAGCATTGTTCCATAGAATGAAACAATATGGAGATGAAGTGACAGGATGGAGCCTATTTATAGCGCCAACAGGTGAGACGTAGGTCACTAGGAGAGGTAAGAACTCAGATGTTGGGAGGTCAGGTCCCTCTCAAATCCAGCCGTTCTCACTAGTAGAGGTTGTAAAAGTTGATTGTAGGTCTGTACCAAGATACCCTTGTGTTGCAGTGTCTGACAGGTTGAACATTAAAATGGTATAAAATACCGACAGGTTGTTAGGTAAGACACATATGCAACAGCTAGGTATCTTTATTTTGAAACGTTTCGCCTACACAGTAGGCGTATCTTGGTACAGACCTACAATCAACTTTTACAACCTCTACTAGTGAGAACGGCTGGATTTGAGAGGGACCTGACCTCCCAACATCTGAGTTCTTACCTCTCCTAGTGACCTACGTCTCACCTGTTGGCGCTATAAATAGGCTCCATCCTGTCACTTCATCTCCATATTGTTTCATTCTATGGAACAATGCTCTCCAGACTGAGGGACTGACCACCTCAAAACTTTAAGGGTGATGGACTGATTACATCGTCTTCAAGTATCTTCTGCTTCTATCAACTTTTCTGTACTCGACTGAAGAAGCCTACTGTGTAGGCGAAACGTTTCAAAATAAAGATACCTAGCTGTTGCATATGTGTCTTACCTAACAACCTGTCGGTATTTTATACCATTTTAATGTTCAACCTGTCAGACACTGCAACACAAGGGTATCTTGGTACAGACCTACAATCAACTTTTACAACCTCTACTAGTGAGAACGGCTGGATTTGAGAGGGACCTGACCTCCCAACATCTGAGTTCTTACCTCTCCTAGTGACCTACGTCTCACCTGTTGGCGCTATAAATAGGCTCCATCCTGTCACTTCATCTCCATATTGTTTCATTCTATGGAACAATGCTCTGCAGACTGAGGGACTGACCACCTCAAAACTTTAAGGGTGATGGACTGATTACATCGTCTTCAAGTATCTTCTGC